AATCATGGAAGTTTTCGGGACTCTATTTTCTTGCATGAAAGAAAAGCAGCCTAAGCAGGGTGATTCCTAAAGTCACTTCCACTCAGGGTCTTTGACAACAAATTCAAAAATGAGAGGTGAACAGGGTTTTTAAGAAAGAGGAGTGATTTCCAGGATCGATGGGAGAGGGTAAGAGATCACAGGGAGGGAGCATGAAGGTAGTACATCTTGTTATTGGGACCAAGAAGCTTCCCGGACCACAACAGAGCAGAAAGTACATGTTGAAATGAAGGGTGAGAGTTGGCTTTTGTATCTTCACTGGCCTAGGATTCTCAGTGGTTTGGCAATTAAAGCCTAGTAATCCCCCAGAGCTACCTGTCCAACAGACTGGAAGAGATCCATATACCGTATATACCCGTGTAAAGCTGAGTTTTCCAGCACATTTTTTATGTTGTTTTTGTGGTAAAATTAGGGGCCTCGGCTGATATTCGGGTCAGCTTATACTCAAGTATATATGGTAAATTTCAATTCCAAATAAAGGTGACCCAAAAGAATCTGCAAATGATAGAACAATATCACTCATATCATATGCAAATAATGTTTTTGCTGAAGATCATCCAACAGTGGTTGCAGCAGTACATTGACTGGGAGCTGCAAGAGGTTCAGGCTGGATTCAGATGAGGAGATGAAACAAGGGCTATAGTTACTAATATCAGATGGAATACCAGAAAGATGTTTATTTATGTTTTACTGACCATGCTAAGGCATTTGACTGTGTGGAGCATAACAAACTATGAAACGCCTTGGGAAGAATGGTAATTCCAAAACACTTGTGTTCATGTAGAACCTGCACATAGAGGTATTTGTGCAGACAAGGGAACAGAGTATGGTTTAAAGTCAAGTTTGTTAGGATTGTATCCTCTCCCCATACTTATTCAATGTGTATGCTGAGAAAACAATCAAAGAAGCTGGATTATCATGAGAAAGAATGCAGCATCAGGATTGGAGGAAGGCTTATTATAGCAATCTGCAGTATGCAGATAACACCACCTGCTCACTGAAAGTGAAGAGGACTTGAAGCACTTGGTGATGAAGATCAAGGATTGCAGCCTTCAGCACAGATTACAACTCAACAGAGAGAAGACCCACGTCCTCCCAAGTGTACCAACAGCGGACATCACGATAAAGGAAAATTGAAGTTGTCAGGGATTTTATTTTGCTTGGATCCAAAATCATTGCTCTTGAAAGAGCAGTCAGGAGATCAAACGATGCGTTACACTGGGTACATCTGCTGCACAAACCTCTTTCAAGGGCTGAAAAGCAAGGATGTTGCTTTGTGGACAGAGGTGTGCCTGACCCACGCCACAGTACTTTCCATCACCTCATCTGCACGTGAGAGCTGGACCCTGAACAAGAAAGACCGAAGAAGAGCTGTCGCAATCGAGCCAAGACTGCTGAAAGGACGGGTCTGTCTTGAAAGAAGTGCCCAGAACGGTCCTGAGAGGCAGGGATGAGGAGACTCCATCTTACTTTGTATGTTATCAGGACACATATTTTGTATATGTTATCAGGAGAGTCCAGTCCTTGGAGAATGGCATCATGCTTGGTAAAGTGGAGGGGCAGCAAAGAAGAGGAAAGCCCTCTATGAGATGGACTGACACAGTGGCTGCAACAATGGGTTTAAACATAAGAACAATGGTGAGGATGCACAGGACCACGCAGCGTTTCATTTTGTTGCACACAGGGTCGCGAGGAGTTGGAGCTGACGACTAATTAGGTCCCATGATGTGACCTAACATAATGTAACCGACTATCTGGGAGCAGCTGAGCAGCTGTGGGAGGCCTAGGATGGAGTGCAACCCTTACCCAAGTCACACCCTGATGCAATGAAAAGGACATTTCCATGGGGGTGTGGCCTAATTCCAATATAAGTGCACACTGTGGGAGCTGCGTCTGGATCCTGCAACCTCCAGTGCTTTGGACTTGGGCCAACAGTCTGCCCTGTGGCATGCCTATCTGGGGAGCGCTCTGTGGCCCGCTAGCGGGCCTGCTGACTTTGGATTCATTTCCCTCTCCGGTCACAAGGCTGACCCGCCTGCTGACTTTGAATTCAGCGGCCTCTGCAGACTATGATGTTCCTGTCCTTTCTGAGTTTTCCGGCCCTGAAGCCACACACGTCAGGAGAAGCCTCCAACTCAACATCTGACCCACATCCTTAGCACAGGACTGGACTTCGCCACTTCTGTAACCGGACGAGCCATGTTCTTAATATAAATGTATGTATCACTGGTTTGACATCTCTAGATGACCCTACCTAACACAGATACAAAGACGAGGCTATACAAGCAAAAGGAGGAATACAGAGCAGGCTATTCCGACACAATCTAAAGATGTCATCTCTACCCATAGTCTAAGCCTAAGCCCCTACGTAAAATCCTATAAATTCTTCACTCTCGGGATGAAAGAAAACTCCTAAACCTGGCCACAAGGCCCAACACTATCTGGTCCTTGCCCACGATTCAGGCTCCTCTCCCACAAGATTCTTCCACCCTCTTCTGCTCCATAGAGCAGCACTGTCGGTCCCTGGTCCTCTCCTGGGAGCCTGGTGTCACAGCATCTCTGCTCTGGCTGTTTGGATTGGAACTCTCTTCCCCTCCCTGGGTATCCTTCAAATCTCCCATCAGTGCCCCTTCTGCGACCTCCCTAACTAAAACTCTCCAGAGACTGCAGTTCTGCCCTCAGGTGGGCATTCCATTATCATTCTCTTTCCCAAGAGTAAGTAAGCTGAGGGCAGGGAGCTAGCTCATTTCCAACACCAAGCAACAGTGCCTAGTACTAAGTAAACATGCAAATATCTGTTGAGCGAGTGAATAGAAGGACATCACACTTGGTAGAGGGCCAGCAAAAAAAGAGAAGAGACTGACACACAGGCTATAACAATGGGCTCAAACATAGCTATGACCATAAGATGGTCCAACACTGGGCAGTGTTCTCATTGTTGTCACAGGGGTCGTCGATGTGAGTTGGAACCCTGTCAATGGCTCCTGCTAACAGTAACAGATGTAAAAACGCCGGGCAGTGTTTCACTCCGTTCGTTACACACAAGGTCACTATCAGTAAGATCCAACCCCAAGCATCTACCAGCTACATACTAGAAACAACAAAGCACCTTAAATGGTCACCTTAAGATTGTGTTCATCTTCACACTTTTTTGGAGAATGTATTCAAGACCAAACAAAAAAAAAATTTGAGTCAGTTTGACCATCTACGTAAATTATCCTGGCCCTTCTTTCTCTCTACATCAATGGAGACATCAAAGGCTGACAAGCTAAACAGACAGACAGACACATGCACACGTGCCACAGATAAAGCTGTGCTACTGGGTGTTATTAAGTGTCTGTTATTTTCTGACACCATGCCTGCTATGGAAGAAATATCTGTCAAATTGCTGCACTACACAACGTATAAGTACAGAACGGGTCCTTAGCCCTATTTGAACATTGGTGTCTGATGCACGCATGAAATCAATTGCAGTAGCAAAAGCATCTAACAAACAAAAACCGTCAACTCACTCATAGTGACTCTAGAGTGGGGCAGAGTAGAACCGATCCTCAGGGTTTCTGAGACAGCCTCATTTTTCCCCTGCAGAACAGCTGGTGGGTTTGAACCATCCACCTTTCAGCTAGCTGTCCACCATTTAATCCTGCATTCATTACCAGGGCTCCCTCACTAAGTAGCAAAGTCCCTCACTAATAGCCATATTATTTTAGATCTCAAGAAGGAAAACAGCCAGACAGATATGTGCTACTAGTATTTCAAAGAAATATTGATTCCATGACCAACTGAACTTCCTGTTGTTAGTTGTTGTCAGGAGATTCCAATTTACAGAGACTGGTTAGGACAGAGTAGAACTGCCCTATAGTTTTTTAGACTGCAATCCTTATAACACGTAGTCAGGTCTTTCTAGCTCAGAGCAGCTGGATAGGTTCAAACTGTCCACCTTTTGTTTAGTAGCCAAGCGCTTAATCATTGAAGCGGGATCCTTCAAGGGAGCTTTAAGAGATTTAAAGGAGGGCCTCAAAATATCAGGCAGGACCATTTCCAAAACCCCTAAGGATATATAAACAATGGGCTGCTCATTGCAAGATCAGAGAATCAAAGCCGCCAGTCACTCTGTGGGAGAAAGAGGCTGTATGGCCCTGTAAAGATTTAACATCTCTGAAACCCTGAGCAGTAGTTCTACTCTGTCCTATAGGGTCGCTAGGAGTTAGAATTGGGCTCGGTTTTATTTGGGTGTCTTCTCCAATACAAGGCAGACCCAAGAAGAACTGAAGCATCTGAAGTGTGGTGTTGAAGATTGAAAATGCGGTGGAGTACCAAAACCGCCAGAATGCTCCTTAGAAACCAGGATGCCAAGACACACACATACTTTGGACAGGTTATCAAGAGAAATCAGTCCCTGGAGAAGGGTACCGTGCTTGGTAAAGCAGAGGGTCCACAAAAAAGAGGAAGAGGACTGACACAAAGGCTGCAACAATGGGCTCAAACAGAACACTTGTGGGGATGGTGCAGGACCGGGCAGGGTTTTGTCCCCTGTGGGTAGGAATCAAATCAAAGGCACTCAACAACAACCCAGTACAAAGACATTGTGTGTCTAAACCTGACAACAAATCAGGCTCAACATAATCCATCAACATCTCCCTGGAAAACTCCAGCGTGGACTGATTGCTCCAGTCTGCCCAGTTTACATAACCACACGACGTCGTCTGTCTTCCTCGTGATCCAAGTTGTGCCATCTTCTCTTTCTTCCACACCCTTCCGGGCGAATCAAGCACCCAGGGTGCTTCATAAATAATGAACAGAAATGCAACTAGAGATGTCTCAGTGAGGGACTCTGGTGCCTCAAACCCTACACCTATTCTCAAAGATTACCCGTGTCCCCTGTTTCTGTGTCATCATCCACCAGTGGCTTAAATCTAAAGTCGTTAGCCAGCAAGATTCAAATGAGGTTGGCAATTTACCCTGGTCACAACTTTCATCCAAACTCAATTAAGGAAGGCTTTAAGTCTTTCCAAATGTCAATCAGAATTAAGCAGCGTCTGCCCCTCATGTTCTCAAACGTCTTTCAAGAGTCACTTGCCAGTCCTTTCTGTCGGAAACTGGAAGGCACAAAACCCGAGCTCCTGAACACCAAAGCACACCCTACTCGCGGCTGCCACGCTAAATCCCCGGGATCGGGGCCGTCAATAGGAGCAATGCTAGGGCTCTCCAGGCTCGACCGAGCAGATGACGCGCACTGCCCCGGAGGCGCAGAGCGGCAGACAAATGTCGAGCACTGTCACGAAGCGGCTGCTGCTCTGGGCTCTCGAGGAGCCCATCCCTGTCCACCGGGACCCACGAGCGCGCGTCCACAGGTGACCTGGGCCTGGGGGCGCGTCCGGTCACCGCCGCTGTGATGCCGACCTCCCTCTCCGCGTCCCTCCGGGACCGCGACGGAGGGCCGGCCGGGTCCGGGAAGGGTGCCTGACAGGAACGACGCCGGAGCAAGGGCGTGACGCTGCAGCCCGAGGGCGCCCGCC